ATGTATATATATATATATATATAATACACACACACACACACATACATACATGGGAGCTCTGGTGGTGTAGTGCCTCAGGCATTTGACTGTTAACCAGAGGTTCAAACCCACCAGCCACTCCTCAGAAGGAAAACTGGGCAATCTATTCCCATAGAGATAATGCCTCAGAATCCCGAGAGGTCATTATGAGTCAGAACTGACGACGGCAGTGAGTTTGGCTTTTGGTTCATACACACATATGTACACACACACACACACACACATATACATATATGAAGGTGCTCTGGTGGCATAGTGGATAAGGCACTTGCCTGCTAACTGGAAGGTCAGTGGTTCTGCTCCATGGAAGGAAGACAGGGCGATCTACTCCTGTAGTGATACTGCCTCAGAAACCCAAGGAGGGGTCACTATGAGTCAGGTCTGACTCAATGGCACATAAAAACAACAACAACAACATGGATATACATACACACACACACACACAATACATACACACACACACACACTCGATCCCAAATGCAACATACCAGAAACATTATGGTAACTTATTCTTTTTCAAGTTTGTTCTAATTTAAGCTGAACTTTTAACAAATTAGTTTATCAAATGCTATAATGGAGTGAAAGAGTGGTATGTAGGAATTAAAATCAGAGGCACTTGTAAATAGAGCAGTCTGAAAGAGAAGGCTTAACTCCATTTTCAAGTCTAGATAAGAGTCTAGAATCTATGTTGAATTTTAAAGCTGTCTTTTCTAACAGCAATTCCTCTAGTCTTGATGTGGAGACCTAAGCTTGATGTTGACCATATACCTTAAAGGAGATAATCCTTTTCTCTGAGGTCTGACAGACACAGGATATCACAATCCATTTAAGAAGCAAGAGCTCAGAACTACCCCTAGAAACAGGTAAGACTGAAGAAGCAATTTTACTACACAGGCTACAAGAAAAAAACCTGTCCTGCCACTGTCCTGTGACATCTTGTAATAAACTGAAGGACATATACCCTTAACCAGGAGGTGCACTGGTTAAAGCATTGGGCTGCTAACCAGAGGCCAGAGGTTCACACCTACTACCTGTTCCATGGGAGACTAATGAGGCAATCTGCTTCTGTAACGATTCACAGCCTGGGAAACCCTACTGGGCAGTTCAACTCTTACAGGGTCACTAAGAGTTGGCATCAACTCGACTGGCAGTAGGTTTTCTTAACCAATCATGTATTCCCACTTATGTCATCCACCTATCCCTGCTAAATCTCTGGTTTTAGATATCATACCATTGTCTCCCCTAATTGTCTTTTAGGCAATTACGATTCTGTAACTTTTTAGTTCTTGCTCTAACTGTACAAAAATGTATTTTTCCTCATTATCCAGCAGAACGGCCATCTTCACTCTGAATTTGGACATCTTCCTGGTCTAGACCATCTCTATCTCTTTTACTTAAGGAGACACTGTGATGATGCTGTATGACAGCAATATAGACAAAACTATATAAATGTAACTATTTACCACAAAGACTTCAGACTGGCTACCGATGTTACCAAAAAACCACTGCTGTTGAGTCGATTCTCCCTCATAGTGACCCTATAGGAAGACAGTATCTGTCCCATAGGGTTTCCAAGGCTGTACTCTTTACAGAATCAGACTGCCACATCCTCCAGTGCAGTGGTTGGTTGGATGGAATTGCCAACATTTTTGGTTTGCAGATGAGTGTTTTAACCACTGCACAACCAGAGCTCTGTTACTGATGCTAAGTGATGGCTTTTTCACTTCCTAATACACTGTTTCTTTTGAGAATTTAAGATAAGAAATAGGTAACCCCTTGCTTAATGTTGAAAGGTACAACAGAAACTACTAAGATGCAGTTAAAACTGAAAGTCCATTAAATTATAGCCTTAGTTTCTTTTGCATCAATATGCATTAACTAACACTTTATTGAGGGAATACCTATCACAGCAAGTCTTAATGACAATACTGTAATAGGAAAAATGTCACTTTGAAAACTAAGCTTCATTTGACCCAAGCCAAGGTATTTTCATTCACCTCATATGCATGCGGAGCTGGACAACGAATAAGAAAGACCAAAGGAGAATTGATGAATTTGAATTATAGTGTTGGCAAAGAATATTGAATATACCATGGACTGCCAGAAGAATGAATAAATCTGTCTTAGAAGTACAGTCAGAATGTTCCTTAGAAATAAGGAAGATGAGACTTTGTCTCTTGTATTTTGCTCATGTTATTTGGAGGGACCAGTCCCCGGAAAAACATATGCTTGGTAAAGAAAAGGTTCAGCGAGATGGACTGACAGAGTGGCTCCAAAAATGGGCTCAAGCACAGCAATGACTATGAGAGTGGTACAGGAACCAGCTGTGTTTAGTTCTGTTGTACATGGCACTGCTGAGTTGGACGTGACTTGACAGTACCCAAGAAGAGCAGCAGCAAATATGTACAACATAAGCTTCATATGAATTAACTTGTTTAAACTTCACAACAGCTTTAAGAACTGTCCTCATTTTAAAAAAGGACAGACTCACGTTAAGTAAATTGCCCAAGGTCACAGAGCTAGTATGGGGCAAAGGCAGAATGCAAAAGTAGCCATTTTGACTCCAGAGGCCACATTTTTCACATTCTACACAGCTACTTCTGAAAAAAGGGTGGAGTGGGGGTGTCATGGGATGGGAGTAAGGGAGCAGAGGTGTTTTTCAGTGGACAATTTTTTACTGATAAGAAATGAAATCACTGAAGGATGAATACCATTGTTTGTAAGTAAGAATCAATACTGGGCTCAGAGGCAAGTAAGCAAATTGCAAGTAGTTACCTTTCAAGTCATGCAGTTTACATAGAAATGTTCCCTGCCCCAGCTTTTGCACTTTCCTTTTAGTCTCATTATCATTGGGAATTTTCTTCTCACACCTGTTTCCTCATTTTTTCTGACTTGTATGCACTGCCGAAAACATGAAAACTCACCTCCCCCAAGTTTTGGACTCAATTCTGCCCCAGAAAGGAAATAAATTGACACCCTCATAGGGTAGAACCTGAAACTACTCTTGCAGTTGTTAAGTCTCAAAGCTAAGAAGCAAATAAGCACAATACAATGAGAAAATGTCAAGATGTATATACAAGCCAAAGCATAGAAAACAGGCATCTTATTCAGGTTGGGCTGAGGGCAGTAAGTCAGGGAAGGCTTCCTGGATGAAGTGAGGCCTTTAGCTTAGTGGTTCTCAAGTCTGGCTGCAAATCAGAATCACTTGGGAAGCTTGAAAAAAAAAAAAAAAAAAAAAGATGCTTTAGTTCTAACCAAAAAAAACCCCAAAAACCCAAACCTACTGGCAACGAGTGGATTCTGACTCACAGTGACCCTACTGGGTTTACAAGTCTGTAAATCTTTAGGGAAGTAGATTGCCTCATCCTCCTTCTGCAGAGCAGCTTGTGGGTTTTAAATACTGACCTTCTGATTAGCAGCCAAACACCCTACCCACTATGCCACCAGAGCTTCTATGGTTCAAACAGTTAAATCAAAATTTCAGGAAGTAGCACCAAAGCACGGGCATGTTGGGAAACTCTGCAGCCGACTTTAACATACACTTAACGTTGGAACCTGTCTTAGCAATGTTTTAAACTCAACAAAGAATTTGGCAGGCCGAGGTTGGAAAAGCAGATGGGAGAATGAATATGCTTTGGGAGATTACTGTTGTTGTTATGTGCTGTCTAGTGGAAGCCGACTCATAGCGACCCCTCCTGGGGTTTCCGAGGCATTATCACTACGGAAGTAGGTTGCCCAATCTTCCTTCTAACTTGTTTACCAAAGTGGAGTACCAAGGATGGGGAGAAGTGACCAGAGAGGTAGGAGAGGTAGGCAGGAGATAGCCCGAGAAAAGACTGGATGCCAGGCAAAAGAAATCATAGGCGCCACAGGAAAAGTTTAAGCAGAAAGTTCAGAACTGTTTCAGGTCTGTAGCAAGGTGGAAAGTGTACTATTGCGGGGGCATTCTAAAAGATGGGGCCTAAAATGCAGCAGTGGCCATGAGGCCAGTATAAGGAGTCGACTGCAGAAAATGCAGGAGGGACTAAAGGTGAGACTATGGGAGGCAAGGCGAAGCCTGGCCTGGCCTAGCCTAGCCTAGTCCTTGCTCGCTGTCCCGGCTCCTGATTACATCAGGGGAGCTAGCCAGACGTCCCCCCACCACCACCACCATCTGCGAGCCCTCACAGCGCAGCCACCCGCACCCAGCCGCCGCCCGCACCTGCTTCGGTTGCATTCTTAAAAGGCCAAGTGTTGAGGACCAGGGGCAGAGGGCTGGAGCTGCGTACCAGGGCCGGACTAAACAGAAACGGCACAAGAAGCAGAGGCAGGTTCGAGTTCCGCGCCATGGCTGCCCGCCAGGAGGGGCAACTTCGGGCGGTCAGAATAAAGATGCAGTCCGGATCCGGGAGGTCACGGGACTGCACAGCGAATTTAGTCTTGTCTCTTTAGCCCTCCGAACTCCCGATCCCCGGCACCCCGCCCACCTGAATGTCACGCCTATTTGCTTAAGTGTGTTTCTGGGTTTCGGCAACTCTCGCGAGACGGACGTGGTCTCCTCGAGGACCGTGGAAGGCTTTTGTTGGGTTGGTGCTGGGGCTCGCGGCCTAAGATTTTATTTTTAACCCGTGCGGAAACTTTTTGTTTTATTTCATGTTTAATACTAATCGACTAAATTGTTGCTTTCTCACTGTTAAACGCAGAACTAGTTCAATATTGAAAAACGGTGTTCCATGACCGTAGAAACTTTAGGTAATGGCTGTGTATTACTTGTTTTTTTTACTTACTGTTTTTTTAGCATAGTGCCTAAGGCACTTCACTGCTAACCAGAAGGCTGGCGGTTCAAACCCACCAGTCACTCCGCGGAAGGAGGGTTGGGCATTCCTACTTCGGTGGTGATACTGCCTCGGAAACCCAAGGAGGGGTCGCTATGAGTCGGGGCCGACTAGATGGCAAATAACAACAACAACAACATTCTTTTAATTAAAAGCTCAAGGTGAAAAGTTTGCCAAACTAAAAATGTGCTTTTCTGAGATTCTTGGCTCCAGAGATTTGGAATGTTTGTTGAAGATAGATGATGCGTGCTTGCTTACAACTAGATTCATTTTAGTTTTTCCACCCACACAGCCTTTTTGTAGGACGTCCTTTCTTCACAAATTCGTGAGCTGGAAGAGGCAAAACAGTCTGGAGAAACCAACTCCACACAGTTCAGTGAAGTGCACCTTCTGCACCTCCAGGGCAGGAACGCAGCCTTCACTCCTTTCTCATCTTACTCTCCCTCTGCCTAGCACCATTAAGTGCTAAATAAATGAATAAAAGAAGTAAAGGAGATTCTTTTTTGATAGTAGAAGCTGCTTATTTTCACAGTTTGGTTGCTGGGCAGATGTGAGAGCAAGAACCAATAATCCCTTTGGGGCTCTGGAATACCTGCCTATGTTGCCAAAGGAAGCTACGAAATCAAATAATTTTAAAGGGCATCTGTCAGTATATACAAACTTGTAAAATACCAGGTAGGAGTTGTGAGGGTTACAAAACTTTTAAGGCTTTGTGGGTATGAAATTAAATACATAATTTAAAAAGCATAAAATAGACTTGAAGAATTACCCCAAGTCTGGGAAGTGCTATTAAAAAGTTAGTGAAATTAAAAGAGTAGTGTTATAAATTCCTGCTTCCTAAATGGAAGTTTGGAGAAGGAACAAGTCATTTGTGTTGGGCTATACAGGATAAGATGATGTCAGGTGATACTTGAAAGAGGAATAGAGTCACCAGGTTTTCAAATGGCCCTAAATATGATTGTATTCCTTCTGCTTTGTTTTAAGTGAATTTAATTTTTTTTTTATATATAAAAAGGTTTATATTGGTCATTTAGGGAGTAGAACTTTAAAAATATATGATATACAACTTTCCTAGCATCATCCCCAAATTTTTACTCTCTTAAGTCATTAATTGTACAGAGCAGAGATATATAGTGTTACTGATAAAAGAACTGGTTATATTATTTTTGTTTAAATTTAGAATGCATTAGTTAATTTTCTTTGGTAAAAAGATTATGTTCTTAAAATTTTTCACTATTAATACAGCAGAAGTATTCTAGGATTTAAAAATTTAGGGCCACAACATATTAGTGATGGCTGCCTCATAACTGCCCTGAGCCACAATTTCCTCATCTCTAAAATGAAGATAATAATGGTGATCTTGCTTAACAAACAACTTTTGGTGACAGAAGGAAAGAAATGTGAGAATAGTTTTGAGACTGGTAGAATATCGTGCAAATTAAATACAATTCTGGTGTTTTAATTGGTATTTATGTAGCATCTATCAGTTGATGTCAAGGACAGGACAGTCCAGAGATATAAAGCAGCAAAGAGAAATTAATTGGAGATTCAAAAATTTCCGTAGGAATAATATAATAAAAAGTTGGCTAGACACTAATTCCCTTGAATGTATTAAATGGGAATTAAAAGTAATATTTTCATTCTGATTTGAGCTGTCTAAAGTTAGGTTTAAATGTTTATAAAGACAGTTGATGGCAGTGTTGTGAGATTTCTGAATATCCTTAAAACAGTATGTTCAAATCTTACCAAAGAGACAGCCACAAATGTAACCTTAAATGATGTTACAAATAGAGCGCCCTGTTAGCCTGTGTCCCCCTGCAGGCTCCCCTCCATTTCCTCTAAACTTCATGGCTTTCAATTTATCAGTCTCAGAAGGATGAAGAATTGAGTCTCTCCTGATAGCATTTGAAGCTGTGGTTCCACAGAGGATTTAACGCGGTAGTTGCAGGGAGTCTAGGTATTTCAAATCTGAGGCTTAAAAATCTAAGCCATCCCCTCTGGCTTTTGCACTGATGCTGTGAAATCCATTTGAGAAACATGCCCATGTTTTGCTACTTGTTCAAAGCTGTAAGCGTGACTTGGCATTGAAATAATAATTTCCTTTTCAAAAACTCCCCACTGTACTATTTCTTGGGTCATCTAAATACGGGTTATTTATTTGATTGACATTTGCTCTTGTCAGATTCGTAAATTTTAAGTAATGATTTTTTGCTGATATCAGAGAATTGTGGTACCATGTTTCCAACAAACTTTTATCTATATTAATTTTGGAACACTTGAAGTTACTATCTGATTGTACATTTAGTATGTAATTAGGGTTACTCTACAGAAATAGAGGAGCTCTAGTAGCGTAGTGCCTAAGGCACTTTACTGCTAACCAGAAGGCTGGGCAATCTACTTCCATAGTTATAACGCCTTGGAAACTCAAGGAGGAGTCACTATGAGTCAGGTCCAACTCGATGGCACATAACAACAACAACAACATACAGAAATGAAGGAGCTCTGATGGCAATGGGAGAGAGATTTGGCCACTAACTAGAAGGTCATCACTTTAAACCCACCAGCTGCTCTGCGGAAGGAAGATGAGGCAATCCTTCCATAAAGATTTACAGCTTTGAAACCCAATGGGTGGTGGTGGTGGTGGTGGTGGCGGCGGCTACGTGTTGGAATCCATTGGATGACAATGGATTTTTTTTTTTTTTTTTTTGGTATACAGAAATAACCTGAGTGAAGAAAAAAAAAACAAATTCACCCAAATCCTAATAAAAAAAAATATATACATATATTTAAAAAAAAAAGAAAGAAAGAAAAAAAACATTGCCATCAAGTCAATTCTGACTCATTGTGATGCTATTGGACAGATTAGAAATGCCCCATAAGGTTTCCAAGGCTTTGGTAATCTTTACAGAAGCACACTGCCACATCTTGCGACCACAGAACTTTCAGTTAGCAGAGTATGCTTAACCACGGCACCACTAGTGTCATCCTACTGACCAACATTGTTTTCTGTATACTAAAAAAATAAAATCAGTGTCATCCAGATGTGAGAAGAGAGTATTCTTTCTTTCTGAAATGAATTTACTGGTTCACGCCTCCAAAATCATTTGTCAAATCAATATCAGATTCAAATCACAGACTTGATTGACTTTTTAATCTTTAAAAGTCATCTTTGTGATTTCTAAAGACGAAGCTTGTATAGGAGAGCGATTTCTTCTCATAATTTATGTACAATATGTTTTTAATTTGTGATTGTAATATTGGACCACTGCTATCATAAAGTTATAATGAGGATACAGTCGATCATTTTACATGGTAGAGTATGCTTTTTATGACTATTAATTGTATTGTGGTGTTTCCATAAATGTGATCCATTACAATAATAAAGCCCTAGGGCAAAGAACAAACTTCATGATATTTTCCTACCACTTTTAAAATTACTCTGACATTGTTAACTAAAATCACAGATGATTTTCATGCAGAAATTTAACAAAAGCACAACTTTAAAATAACAATACCTTACAGTAAATACCTTAGATTACCTTTTTAAAATAATACTCATTTGTTGATCATGATTTAAATGGAAAAATATTCTAATAATGAACAGATATATCTTGTACTGGTATCCAAAAGGTCTCATTTTATAATGGTTCATCCTGTCCACTGCCATCGAGTTAATTACAACTCATAGTGACCCTACAGAACAGAGTTGAACTGCCCACAGGGTTTCTAAAGCTGTAAATCTTTATGGAAGCAGACTGCCTCATCTTTCTCCCTTGAAGCAGTTGTTGTTGTTGTTGTTATGTGCCGTCGAGTCGGCCCCGACTCATAGTGACCCCTCCTTGGGTTTCCGAGGCAGTATCACTACAGAAGTAGGATTGCCCAACCTTCCTTCCAAGGAGGTTTGAACCGCCAGCCTTCTGGTTAGCAGTCAAGTGCTTTAGCCACTATGCTACCAGAGCTCCTTTGAAGCAGTTAGTAGGTTTAAATCTCCAACCTTTTGTTTAGCAGCCAAATGCTTTTAACCACTGCACCACCAGAGCTCCTTTAATAGATCATCTAAAGATATATAAGGAAAGATTATTTTACATGTTGCTTACCATTTTTACATGTTTTAGAAATACAAATGTGTTCTTCAACAATTTCTAAGTATGCTCCCATTTATTAAAAATCACTTACCCTTTTCTAATGTATAGCTGTTTGGTAAAAAATCGTAGTATTATATACAGTGTTGTGTAACCTGCTTTTTAATTTAATATATCTGTCACTTCTTTGCATACCATTAATATTCTTATAATATTGTAAAGGTTTTTATTGTGAAATGTAAGATTAATACAGAAAAGGGCATAAAACATAAATATACAGTCGGAAACCCAAGGAGGGGTCGCTATGAGTCGGGGCCGACTCGACGGCACATAACAACAACAACAGTTCAAATTATTTTGTATAAAATGAATTCATGTGATCACTGCTCATGTCAACAAATAGAATATTACCAACACTCCTGAAAAACCTAA